GTGGCTGCTGTTAGGTAAGTTTGGTTGCCCGCGTAAGTTTGTAAGTTTAATTGGAAGTCTGCACAGTGGTATGAGAGCAGAGGCGCAGCTGAATGGAGAGACTTTGGATGATTTCAGCAAACTTGGTAGACGACCGGTTAATGTATTTATGATGATATTCGTCTACCAAGTTTTCTGAAATGATGACTTCCCGATCGGTTCCAAATATGTTCCAAGATATTGAGTACAGACTTTGGATGAATTTGCAGTTGTCTCTGGTGTGAAGCAAGGCTGTGTCTTATCTCCTACCCTGATTAATATATATCTTCATGCAATAATGTCTCGTGCTTTTGATGCCGCTTGTGATTACAATGTTCAGGTGGAGCACCGAATTGATGATGGGTTGCTGAACATCCGTCGTTTCGGTGCGAGAACTCTAGTCTGTGAGACAACTATCCGTATGTTGCTGTTTGCTAACGACTGTGCGTTGTTTGCACAGAGCGCGGATGAGTTGTAGCATATGACTAATGCTCTGGCTTCGACAGCTACCAAATTCGGGCTTACCAGCAACACAAGCAAAACTGTCTGTCTCTTTCAGCCTTCACCGGAGGTGCAATCTTCAATATTGCCGCAAATCAGCACTGGTGCGGAGGTAATGGAAACCGCTTCCCGCTTCTACTACCTTGGGAGTGTGATGTCGACTGATCAGCAGCTACACAGTGAACTTCGTATCCGCGTGTCGAAGGCAGCGGCGGCATTCGAGAAGCTAGAGTACCGAGTGTGGAACAATCATCAGCTTACCATTGGCATGAAGCTGATGGTGTACAAATCCATGGTACTATGCGTTCTTCTATACGGCAGTGAAACGTGGACGATGTATCGTCGGGATGTGCGATATCTCGAGCGGTTCTATCAGCAGTGTTTGCAGCGGATGTTGCGCATCGGTTGGGGCGACAGAGTTGCAGACACGGAAGTGTTGCGACAAAGTAGGATGTATGCAGTGGACTTCATACTTTTACTGAGACACCTGAGATTGTTCTGTTATGTGAGCCGTATGGATTTGACGCGGATACCGAAACAACTCTTATACGGTCAGCTGAGTATTGGGAAGCGGCACGTAGGGAAACCAAAGTTACGTTACCAGGACATGATTAAAGTGAGCCTCACACGTTCTAATCTTGATTGCAGATCATGGGAATGGAAGGCGGTTGATTGTGGTTCATGGCGCGATTTAATCACGAAGGCAGTTGCTGAAGTGTGGGCGAAAGACCTCATACATGCAGAGAAGAAGGGGCAAGTGCGGAAGCGGAAAGCACCGATGGGTTGTACACCGTCAGCTTCGCGCACATGGTGCTGTAACACATGCGGTCGCGAGTGTCTGAGTCAGGCAGGCCTAGTGAGCCATATATATATATATATGTATATATATATATACATATATGTATATATATATATATATATATATATATATATATATATATATATATATATATATATATAGGAGAAGGCGTGTAAAGGACGCCTCACAACCACACCAAAGCGACTTGAATCATGCGACTTTGCCTTGTAGATCAGCAATACGAGAGCAACTACTGATCATCAAAGGTTTGTTAGTCTAACGCTTCATAATATTCGCTCAGCAGCGCGATGTTTAGCTTGTGTCGTGCCAGGCTTTTGAGAATCACGTAGCAAACTGGTCAAAGTGGGTATTCCATGTTCTAAATGGTGTATGGTTTTCAATGGGACACGCGTCCGAGAGAAACTTAGAGCGGTCAACTTGCACAGCAGCAACCAGTTTCCGGATGGCTTTGTGTAGAATGATCGTCTATCCAGTGCTCTTACAATCTCAGAATTAAAACCAACTGCTAACCGAAATAAGGGAAATGCTTTTTCATCATCAATGCACGTTTCACTGAGAGTGATGAATGTCCGTTTCTATTAGGTGCAGAATTTAGGCCTGTTCTATGCGGCACTGTCCTCAGGCACGAAGAAAACCGTTGTATAGCTTGGTATCCTCAGGTATCTGGAGAGCAAAGAACCCAAAGATGACATTGTCATTAAGATTATGTGGTGTAGTTTCGTACTGAACAAAAGCATGGTTTGGGATCCTTGTCGCAAACGAAACCATGCCCTAATACCCTACCAACTTTTCTTGATTTTACGGGGCAGAGTAGAAAACGATTGCATAGAATGAGGACCGACCCACAGGACCAGTCTAAGAGGAAATGAACTCCACATCATACGACCGTACTATAACCATGCTGCGTACATGGAGTTTCGGAGGAATGGGATTTGTGCCGGATGACCTATTCATGTGACGCCATGGGGCAATTAAGGTTTTCAACAAAGCAACACTTGTTGACCCAACACATGCTAAGGCAATTAATAAAACCAGCGAAACTCAAAGACGAATCATTCCGATTGAGCAGCATGATTGATACTCTCTAAAATGCGGAGAGTTAGAGTTGAATGAAAGTTTAGTGTGATCCTTGTTACTATTCAAGTACATTACGAGTTGAATCCGAAAACAAACATTTTAAAGAGCATAGAAAACTGCACTGAACAGATGCATATCGAAGAATAAATAAGTGACACTTATCTCCCGCTGACAAATGCTTCAAACTAACACCTGTTGATGCGGTAACCACTTGATACGGGCTACTTAGCTAAAAAAATGTAACCATTAATTGCTTGCACATATTTCCCCTATATTTACTTGATTCCATGTAGCGCACAAAATTATCAGCGCCATTCATTCATTGCCTGCCTTGCACATCCGGCGCATGTAGGGCGGAGAACATGAAAGGGTTTGTTATATACACATTGCAATCGGATAACAGTCGCCAAAATTACACACCGCATGAGTAGGCAAATGTGTTTATCATTGTCGCAGGGAGGTTTTTGCTGTACCTTGTACTGAGAAGATATGTTCACATGTTGTAAATAAGTGGTTCACATACTGTCGGCTTTAAATACTAAGGTGTTTCTGACAGATGTTATATATACCAGATCTACTGGACTGTGTTCAAACTCATCGTTAAGGTAACGATTTAGTCACATTTCATCGAGTAAGATGCATTGCTTTGTTAAATAGGAAACGCCGTCAAGTAGCTGGGCGTAAAACTTGAAATGAGGTAACTGGTAGACAGCCGTCATGCTCACATAAACTTGAACATATGCATGCATGGCTGGTAACTCATTGGTGGAGAATCTTCATGGATGCCCTAACAGTTCTTAAATATTTCACGACTGTTCCACTGCAAGGACGAGTGTTAAATGAGCGGAGTCAGCCGTAATGTCAATAAGACCACCCAATTTGTTGATAAGACCACCCAATTGGTCTGTGCCTCGCACTGTTGAGGAATAAAACTATTTAGTTATTTATTTATTTACACATATGCCCACATGTTTTAACCTGTGGGGTACTCATCCGGTTACATTGCAGAATAGCAGTGTTTACTACCGGACTCTCGAGTTACGACAATCTGCTCAACCTTCTTTCTACATGCGGATAGGTAGAAGAAAGGTCTTGGTGCACCTACCGTGACAACCTGAGTAGCCGTAGCCTGAAATGCATGACAAAGGCCAGAGCTGTAAGGAAAACCATGAGGATGTTAACACTAATACGCCGACATTAATGTTTCCAACTCAAATAGTATTCAGTAGACCGAGAAAACATAGGTCTAATTCTAAGTAACTCGTGATCCAACCTATTTGTTTAATGGTACATATAGTGAGTATATACCTACGTACACAGTGAATTTTTAGCACCTAATAAAGCATACTTCATTCCTTCTTCTACTCTGCTACACAAATTGAAATAACCGATCCAATTCTACGATTTTCTGCCCTGCTACATTTTACCAATTTATCGAAATGTTATTTGAGTTCATGTGAGAAGACCCTACTGCTTAATTATTCAGGCATTTCCAAAGAAAGCACATTTGTAAGCTGGACATGGTCTTAAGAGTCACCTACGCCGGTCTCTTTTGTTAACGATTAGGAAAACAAACAGAAATGGCTATGGACTGCGTAATACGAGTGAGATATTTTTAAATCATGTGGGGTTGCGATGCTTCCCAGTTTATCTTTTAATCTTACCAGTCATAACACTGGTTTAAGGGAGCTCAACTGTGAGAACAAACAGACCGTAACTGCTGTGTAAACGCAGTGGTCGTCATCCTACCCTTGCATACAACATTGTTGACGCCTAGGCGAAAGTACTTGGAGGCACTCCCTCGTAATTTTCAGCTACGTTTAGCTTTAATGACAACCGTAAAGCGTCTGGTCCATGTGCCGCGCGCTTCTACGCGCCGCATTTTATGATGGGACTGTCCGTTACTTTCGGAAAACTGTCTACTTAGAAATGTCTCTCGCATCCGGATCAATTGTTGGTGATTGAAACGCCTTCACTTCACAGGCACACAGTGATGGACGTCAATATCCGGTGTCCGGAACCCGCATTTTATGACCCCCCCTAGAAAATATTGTCACTAGTGGGTCAGAAATGATTCGCTTTAGCGCCTAAATCAGAAACGATACTACAGTGTGCCTCAAGTTACCAGGACCCCGTTTAGTTTACTTGAGCTGTAAGCATTTATAATTTTATAATTTCACAGCTTTACTGGCTCATTGAATTTTTTGATGGTGTAGATACCCATCCATGCCGCTTTGTTCGTACTAGGTGTTTGTTACGGACTATTGGCAGTAATGTAGACCAGTAGGATGCAACGCACGAGTCAGGTTGTCAGGGAGCTGACGGACAGGTGGCCTGTACCGGTAAAGCTACCTCAGGTTAAGAGGTTGTAAACAAGGGGGAGAAGGATGCGAAGCCTAGTTTGATAAGGAGCAGAGTGCTACGTTTCACCGAATACTTATTGAGCTTGTAAACGCGGTTCAGTACTTTGGGAGATCAAAGAGTCTGAAAATAGCATCCAGTATAGTTTAAATCCCGAGACTACAGGAAACATGTCATGCAGAAATGGGTTAACAGGCAAAATATATATTTGTAAACCACTAACCTATGTGTATTCCGCTTCTGTTGTTCAAACTCAGTCGTCTGACGATGTTGCACAGACTGTTGGGACAAACTAGATTACCGCCAAAGCGATCAGGTTAGAGAGGCTCACAGACTTACAGCGAATTCAAATGCACTGCACCTAGGCTAAATGAAGTTCGACTTTTCCTCCACCCACATTGTCGAATCTGGCTTTCTACGAAAAATACTGCGTGGGTTCATGCAGCCGACCTTGATCACCTCAGCGAGGTAAAAGAGACACGAGACCAAGATATATATATATATATATATATATATATATATATATATATATATATATATATATATATATATATATATATATATATCGCTCATGGAAAATAACGGTATCTCTATGCGATCAGAAGAGTACTCAACGTGAGCAGAACAGGCACGCCTGATGTTGCTCCAGCTAGCCGACTTCGGGTTTTGCCGAGTCTCGACGAAAAGTGAAAGCAATCCTGACTTAACAAGCTGACCTCCAGAATTGTTCAGTTTGGTCTGGGTCTTTTCAGACATTGCGTGGATTCAGCGTAAGCGAAATGTGGAAGAGTGCAGCATGAATACGGTGGCTAGTACCTCCATTCTTCACGTAGTCCCCCATATCCCATGAGCGTGATACATCAAGTAGCTCTTGGACAACATTATAGCTACTTACCTCTTAAAGCCACAAATATCAGCTAGCTACTAAGCCTTCAGTTCAAAGATAATAAAATTCGTACTACAGAACAATCCGATGGCAGTTAAACTATTGGGACGCTGGAAGTCATTTTACAGCAGACCGCCAAACGAACTCTGACTCAAGGCCGCGAGAAGCACCATGACCACATTTAAAGCGCCACCTCAGTAGGCGGAGGAAGTGGGTATGTCGTTCGAACCGCAAGCTGGTAGAAGACCTGAAGAATGCAACGATGCTCTTGTGCGATAGGGAATCCGCACCCATGCTCTGCGTAAAATGAGTTGACACACGAGTCAATTACTATACCATTGAAACCCAAATCCAATTCACTCACAAACAGCATGTTAACAGCAACTTCCGGTAAACTACATGTCGTATGATGCGATCTGTAATCCCAGCACCATTTCCACAGATGTGTTACTGAGAACCGAAAAAGTTTTCTGCTTGCATACCCTTGCCCATAGCTCACTCTGTTACTTGCTGAGCTTCGGCTGCATCAGACAACAAACAAAGGATCTCATTTCAATAAGCGAGACATTTTTGCTCTGTGCGGTTAGGGATACTGAGAGTGCGATTCAGGGAATGTGCTTTTTCTTGAACGACCGCGACCTCAGAGAATGTGGCATAATCCCGTATTACCTCAACGCCAGATATTGTGGGTCCATAGGTTATCCGAAAACACGATCAAGCTTTCCCATTGGTGCTGTTTGTGTCTCAGATAGGACTACAGGCGCTTCATGGTAAACGTTTATCTACATTCACTACCCCATCCAGATATGAATTGCCATCTGCTTTCGACTGCGACAAAAATAATACTGCCAAGTCACAGTCGTATGCCTACTACCGATGACTTCAACTTACACGACCTGGACGTCTCAGTATCAGCTAGGGATACATGAAAAGCCGAGTTGCGAGCGCTCACTGCAAGTATTCCACTGTACAATCCATTCACCCATCAAGTACAGAGCTAATAAAAACAATCGGTACAGATATCGTACCTAAAACGGTCAACAGGAGTTTAAAAGATATCCTGCTAGAACTAAGCCATCATGCAACCACAATTTACAACTACGTGTGTTACGTGAAATACCCAGAGGGCCATACTTAAACGGCACCCACTATCACACACTACAGCCAATTAACAGAGCTGGTTGAGGTGATCAACTGAGACTTCCTGAAAAGTGGCTCCTTTGGAGTACCTTGCGATAGCTTTTTGGAAGTTTAAACAAGAGGATCGCAACGGTTTGAAGCCAAAGCAGTGTCTTTTATCCGAAGCAAATCTCGACTCGTAATGTTTGCGAAATTAGAGTGACTAAGTGGCTAAAAGTAAAAAGCTCTTACACAAACACATCAACGGCTTTCACAAAATGAATAACGTCCCCCCCCCCCCGCAATCTAGATTTCAGTCGGAGTGACCCAAAGCACTGAAGCACCCAATGCTTTAAGGCTAGATTATAGTCCGACCTCCCAGGTAGATGTCCGCCAGGGTTACCTAAATACAAGCATCCCCCGACTTCAGTAATTGTTCAGATCATGTTTACCGCTACAATGGTATGGTGGAAACTGCCTACGAAGCACAACTAAAATTCTGCAAGAATAAATGTCACTCACCCAGGTCCGAAAGTGTAGCAACAACGAAACTGGCAAATCCTTACTCACACTTCCTCATAATATGTATGGCTAACCAAGTGGTGTCCTCTAGGGGAAAATTAACCTTAGTTTGCCAAATTTTAGCAGCGGTAGTCATTTGGCATCTAGAAAGTGTCGCTTAGTGGCTCCCTTTCTTGTGCTCTCAGAAGCGGAGTACAAACATCCATAAAGCATTAGTCGACCATCTAGAACGTTGCAACATCATAGCACTAGAGCCGCGCGATAATATTTAAAGCCAATCGTGCCGTATT